AAGAATCTGTGGCGACCTCGACTACAACACCCAACGACGGTCAAACTCCACAGATATTCCCATGGATGAGGAAGCTGCACATTAACCATGGTATACACATCTCCTTTATTATTTAGGCATTATAGAATGAAAATGTTAACGCCTTATTTGATAACAGCTTATTAAAGAAGTTGAATTAAACGTGGATTAAATGCATGTTTTTTTTATTTGTACAGAACTAATGTTTGTCTTACAAAAATAATCCTTTGACGAACCATTAATTTCACTTAAGTATAGCTAAGTATAGGTTAAAGAGAGAATAACCACTCCACCTGGGAGGTGACTGCATGTAAAATTATTGCATGTGTGCAGCAATAAAGCCATAAAATGCAATGCTAGGCTACTAAACTACACGTCGCCTTGATTATATTCTAAACAGCCAGCAGTCCAACATCCAAAATGTAACGGACATTTAAGTCCATTTCCGTTTGATGGTTTGGTTATGTTTTCTTATTATGTCTTTGCCTTGCTTATGCCAGATATGACTGGACCTGATGGGAAACGGGCTCGAACAGCTTACACTCGCTACCAGACGCTCGAGCTGGAGAAAGAGTTCCATTTCAATAGATATCTAACACGCAGGAGGAGAATAGAGATTGCTCACGCTCTCTGCCTCTCAGAGAGGCAAATCAAAATCTGGTTCCAAAATCGCAGGATGAAATGGAAGAAGGACAATAAACTGAAAAGCATGAGTCTGGCTACGGCGGGGAGCGCATTTCAAAATTGAGCAAATCACGTCACATTAATTGGAAAATTCGACTACTGTTACAGCGCTGCACCTTTCAGCTTGTTGGTATCACCTGACGACGTGTGATTTCCCCCGTGCAACTCAAAAATTGTCAGCTCTTGAATATTGTTATCACATATACTAAACTAGTTACAATTGCCATAAAATGAGTGTGAATGTCAAGTGTGTCAAGTTTATACATTCGTGGAGGAAAGCATGTTCCATGTGAGCTATTCGTGCAACGTATTCTAGACCTGTTACAGGAATTATGTACAGTACAACTCGCACTACCTAACTATCTTAAGTGATAGTTTAAAAAAGAGAAACTTTTGTTGTATCCTTGAACTTGTATTGAAACGTCATGTATTATTCACGCAACATGCTATATTCTTGTTATGTGCCGGGCTTTTTGGTTTCTCGCATAGATGATACCTGCATCGCGAGACAAATAATCTTTTCGCACTTACATTTGTGTATACTTAGGCTGCAGCACAAGATTACTTTGGGCTCGTAAGATGTCCATGAAGAATGTCTTTATACAGTAGTGACCAATATGTTATTTGTAGTGCACAACGTGAGTTATGAACGTTCTGTGTTAAAAGTTGGAGAAAAAAAGTTTTGTTAATTGACATGTTGATGGTATCTCTGCCATTTTTTTTGTATTTGTGTCTGAACTGAAAATGAGTTGATCCAAAAAGAAAAATAAAGTTTTCTCTCAGTCATAGATGAAAGTCTCTTTTTGTCTTGGCCTGTTTGGTTAGTGATCCCAACGTTGGACAATTCATTACATGGGACACTAGTTCTAATTTCACCCACCAGTTCACCAGTTCTTTAAATAATAATTTTCTCTTAAATGTAATCATCATTCTACATGTATAGGCTATCTTAAATTAAGCGTGGGTGTCACTGTTTATGTGTTCTGTTGCATAAAACAATAGTCCATTCAGTTTGGGCTGCGCTCTGCGAGAAAACTTTGGATATCGACTAAGATCAAGAATATGGCTTATAAAACGGCAATACTCTAACTCAGCACAGGCTATATGTCACAGCACAACTCAACTTATTAACGATGTTTTAACCATCTGCATTATTTGGTTGGAAACACAGCAGACAAATCATCCACCTGAATATTTTCTTCTGAAGTCCACTCCATAACACCAACATGTAGCTCTAAAAAAGTCACGTGAGGTCCATAAAGTTAGTTTTATGGTTTTAGGGGGGTTGACAATGTGCTACATAATTCACAATCTTGAATGTAACTGACTGTTTAACTGCTTCAGCGGGATTCTAAAGGTTGTGGGCAGCATGCGGAGTCTTCTCAAACTGGACAGTCCTTATATCCCATGCTGACTAGGCTGTCAACAATGATTTTCATAATATTTCTGCTGGATGTGAAACGATGTCTTCTCTGTAGTTCTCAAGTAAGTCTCTTTCTTGGCTACAGATGTTCATTCTTTTAATGAATTGTTTTTTTAAAGGATCACGAATTTTAACTAATTTACTATTTAATTTAAAGCTTTAGCCTATAAATATCAGATAATGCAGACTTGTTTGGTTTACATATTATTAAATGATAAAATATATTTTTAAAACACGGTGGATTTTGACTCGGTAAAAAAAAAATCATTAACCTTATATGTGTGACTGAATGCATAAGTTAACATTTCTATTTGCGAAGCTGTTCATTTGCGTGGATTATGGAATATATTTTATTCTTATATTTTCAGTAATACTTGAAGAAGTAAATCTAAAAATTATTTCAATTTTACAAAATTTTAAAAATCTACTTCACAACAGATGTCCAAAAATTTGGAATAGAGACAATTTTTCATGGTTAAACATATACAGAGCAAGTTTATATTTTTGTTATGGTGAATTGTGTGATTAATCAGGAAAAGATCAATCTGGGAAAAAAGGGGGGAAATAGTTTTACCCTCGTTTGTGTATTGCACATTTATTTATTTTTTATTTTTTTGTCTGGACCTTTGATATAGGTGCAACATTTTGGAGGTGAGGTTCTAAGTGTGTGTGTTTTAAAGATACTAGGATGGATGTAAGGATGTAACTATTTTCTCGTGATAGAAACGGTTCTTCGATTCATAACTATTAAAGTCCCATTTTACCCCTATAATGTGTTTTGCATATTGATAGGGGTAATCTGGGCGCTGTTCTCATCAATTATTCATTGGGAAGGGATCACTCCGAGGTCAGGAGACAAGAGTGGCACACACACACGCCTTATACGAGAGAAGCACAAGGTCCATGCCGAACGGACTAGATGGTAATCCTTCGCAGTTTTGGAATACATTTTCACTCACCACTCAGTTCGGTCTAATTCTCTTAAAGCCATTTTTATACTGAAACGGCATTGTTGAGAGGGGCAGACTTTGAGAGTTGTACGAGCAAATAGAGTAGCCTAGTCGACGAAACGCTAAACAGAATAAATTATTTTGAAAGTTCTGGTATTTTTAATTTTATTCTGCTTGATTAATAAATAAAAGCAATGTCTCCGAACGTCAATTTTGTTGCTATTTAGATTGATGTAATGTTGCTTCATCACCAGCAGGGCCCGCCTCACACCGAGCTCCTGATCGGTTTTTACTCATTCTGCATAGCGAGACATTCTGACGCTTTCAATTTTTTTTTTCATGAAATTAGGCTATATATAGGGATTAAAAAAACAAAAACACACACACACACACACGTAAACCGCGAAAATGGAAATATTTTTCAATGTGGCAGCTTAATTTTTTCTTTTGTTGGCTTTTGATGTGGGACCCGTCTAAACAATTATTGTTAAAATAAGCTCATTAAATAAACTAGCCTATGAGGAAGAGTGTAATCATAAAGCAATGGGACCTAATGAGAAAAAAAAAACGCTTTCTGGTAGAAATATTAAATGTGGAAATGTCCAAATATCATAGCTAGATAGAATATAATGATAAAAAATTAAAATAATAATAATTAAAAAAAAATACTGTGCGTGATGGCATGGTGAAGGATCAGAGTTCATGCTGAGGTCACTCATCCAGCTTATGTGATGGCACCATTCTCGGCTTTTGTGGGAAAGGCAAAACCATAAATAGAAATTGAGAGCAGTGACTTATATAAAACTCAGATAATTTATGTTGTAGGATGATGTAGTCTAATATTTGGAGGTATATGCTATTTTTTTCTAAATAATTGAAATAAATTAATAAATAACCATACTGCTAGGTGTATATACATTTCTAACATATGTGTATTTAGGCTACACGTTGAATGAAATTAAAATAGGAATTCTTGGTGAATATTTAATCAGCGGTCTGTCTGTAGTTTGTAGTGCGATAACACGTCCAGGAAAGCAGTAATCGAAAGTGTGCTGCAGCAGCAGGATTGCCTAATGAAGTTGATAAACGATATTTCGCTTAAGGTTATCTTGAATTTTTCATCTTTAATCGATCGTTATGCGCCCAAAAGGTTCTGCGATGTCTTCAGTGAAGCTGTTGGAAGGCTAGTCCAGCAGAGACACACGAAATTAAAGTCAGAGAGAAAAAAGCCAAATGCATACGTAAAATTGGATTTACAATGTGAAATGTACAGGAGGCAAAGAAAATATAGACATCGAGAAACAGGATGGGGACCATCGTTAGTGCAAAAGAGTGAGGCACATAGTAAGTTTACTTATCTCTTTATGATATCAGGATTTCATCCAAATAAGCAATGAAACAGAACATGCGTGATAGCCTTGCTTTTTTTTCTTTTTTGCAAGCTGTTATATTAATATAGCCTACTAAAGCATGTTTGACTAGTATTGGATTAGAACTGTTGAGGTATGGGAACGTAGCAAGTAACTAATGCAAATGATATAATGGGTGCAAATCTGAAAGTTATCTGTGCTCAAATGACAGTTGTTGTTGTTTTCAACAAATTCACAATAAAGGGGTCACATTTGGCCTGGCAGAAAAGTTTAACAGATGCCGATGATGTCAGTCATCTATATATACCCTGTAGATCCGAATTTGTGTGAATAGAAAGTCGCAAATTCGTGTCTTGGGGAAGATGTAGTTGACATAAACACGACGCCATTGTGGAATTGAGGATATTCCAACACTATCTCTGCACCTTTTTATCCCGGGCATACGCTAACTTTTTTAATTATTTATTTGTGTGTGTGTGTGTGTGTGTGTGTGTGTGTGTGTGTGTGTGTGTGTGTGTGTGTGTGTGTGTGTGTGTGTGTGTGTGTGTGTGTGTGCGTGTGTGTGTGTGTGTGTGTGTTTATGCGTGTCATTATTAGAGATGGTTAAAAAAAAACTAAACATGATGCGAAGGTTTTGAAAGTTAGACACCTGATGGCGCTACATCATTTGTCAAATGGAGACACATTGACACCGCGAAAACGTGAGGAATTTTTCAGTATTCAGCAATGAATATTCCATGTTCTCGGAGACAGACAATGGTATTTTACAGATATCAAATCAAGCAAAAAAAAAAAAAAAATCCATCAACGCACAGAGGCTCATAACATAAGCTATAAGACTATTATAAAGCCTAGCAATTTACATAAGAATAATACAATAATCGAAATTGTAAAATACTTCAGGATATGATAAACTGTGTTACTCAGTGTCTCATTATGCTAATTAAACCTGATTTTACTTTCCTTTATTGTTCTAGCAACAAGTCTATTCCAATGGGGCTGCGTGTGACCCTGGACACGTTTTCTATGCTATTCATCAAATGGACAATCTGCAGACAGTTGAGAAGAAGGAACATGACAAGAAACAGGTAGCCTAATTTTTACATCAGGAAATACTGCCAGATATCAACTGGATTTATCTTTGCTTTTATATTAGGCTACATAATGCATGAATAGTGAAGAAGTCAGAGCCTATATCCAGTGTTGTGTGGTTAGGCTATTTTTGTTATTTCTTGAATAAAATAGACTTCTGTCTCTTATTGATATGAAGAGCAGGCTAGCTATTTCAAGGAGAAGGATAAAGAGGTGGATTAAGTAAAAGTGAAAAGATACTGGTTCCACGTCCCTTATTTGCTAGTCACGTGATTCATTGAATTATTAATGAAGAGGCTGCATAGCAGAAAGGCAACGCAGCCAATTCGTCAAGACTGGCTTTTCGCCGAGTTAACTTGTGTGAGTTTTTTGGGGGGTGTTCTTCGCAAGAAGCTATCCTCATCATTGCCGTGAACAGTCGAGGGAGAAATGTAGGATCAACCGCACAGCATAAGCACCACATTGTGAGTAAGCCTTTAGATAAAGCTAAAAGATGCTTATGCTACTCTACTGTTCCGCAGACTTGAAGAGAAGATGTAAAGGCCAATACTAAGATGCATATTCATATTTTTCCCAACACAGTCTCATGAAGATGCGTATCTATACCACGAGTGTCATTTCCGTTCATTTAAATATAAGTGTATGAAAACACTTTTACAAATTACAACTATTACAAATGCAAGTAGTTATAACTCGTGTTAGGCTATTTGTTTATAGCGAAAGAATTGTCACGGAATATTTTTTTATGTTACATTTTCTGGATTTTGCAGGTTTTTGTATAGCCTTATGAAATATATTTGACATAATAGTACACTTGTAACAGAGCACTCTAAAATTCTGGGTTGTTTTAACCCAAATTTGGGTCTATATATATATATGGACAAACTCAGCTATTAGGTTAAAAATTGTATTAAAAAATGTAACCCAATGGCTAGGTTCGTCCATGCATATTTGACCCAAATTTGGCTTGAAACAACCCAGCATTTTTTAGAGCATACGCTCAAAAATATTTTAAATACAAGTCTATATAGATGATTAATGTAATGAAGTGGCCGTAATGTGACTGGTAATATCAATAAAATGGTTAGGGTTAGATTGTTAAGTCCTTAATTGGTTCGTCTGATGGTGACTATATCAGTTTTGGACCGTCTATAACGAATCCACGTTTACAATGACATGAACAAAGCAATGGAACACTACTAGAGATCAACTTGAGAGATCAAAGGCCCTCGGACCTTTGGGGAATTGATCGCAGAACCATCCCAAGACAGCGGCACTCTCTCATCTTCAACATCGCTAATTACAATATCATGCACGAATAATTCGAAACAGATGTTCCCTTTACAAGCATACAAGCATTTAATGGCAAAGATGTTAGCTGACATATAGGATAATCTACATATTTTTTTTGATGGTGCAGGCATCTACCAGAGTTATTTTTTGTGTTTTCAGAAATATGACTCGTTATCCTACCGAAGAGAAAACGTATTTTCACTTTTCGTCGCCATAACCAATATATTGGCCTTGGATATGCAGTAGCCTATTTTAGCCTATTTGTATTCTGTAATTTGCTGGTGAAAAACTTTCACACATGCTAAATTCATTTATTTTCATTTTTATTAAAATTAATTTTAACTGGCTCCTCAATAAATGCATTGAACGTTTATCTCACTACATGAGCCACTATCCGTTTATTTAATTGAAAATACCACACATCTCTTCATTGGTTTGTGTTCTTGATCGTTTGGTGTACACCACGTCAATACTGCTTCAGAGCAACATCCTGATCTTGCTTAATTTTTGTTTGTTTCGCAGTTCAATTTATATCGATTGCCAACTCCGAGAGACATCCTTCTTTGCCTCCATCAGCTTTTACATTCAAGATATTTGAATTCCTCTCAGAAGAGGACAATTTCCTTTCAGGAGCCTGATGTCGCTTTAGACAGAATATGGATAATGAACGTATTTTTGTTTGGTTATGAAGTTTTCTTTTCTGTGTCTGATTAGTGTTGGCTCATTATGCACATTTTACCCGGGTCTTTTGCTTACCCATAGCTTTGATACACTCGATCCTTTGGCTTTAATCTCTTAGGCTATAGGTAAGCATTTATTGCATTTCTGTCGTCATATCATAGAGAGGAACATTTGCATACACGTTAAGACATGACTCATATTCAGTGACAATTACAGCAGCACTTCGGGTACCTGAAAACATTATTGTTTTCAACAAGGATTTAATATAGGATATTGCAAATATTTCTGTGATTTGTGACTGCAAAAACCAAGCTGCTGAAGAATAAGCTCACAGTTTGTGAATGGCGGAGGATCTGTCTGGGTGATTAATAGCCCTAGTATTTTGGCAAAGGTTCAAAACGAGTTCACTGGGCTTTGTGCGTTGTTTTAGACTGCACACAAACCCTTCCCATTGTTTTTTCCCCAACTACTTCGTTATTTAGTTATGTTTTTTTTCCATCCCAGTCACGATTAGGAATATATATTTTCAAAGCCACCATGTTCTTAATTTACATGCTTGCTTATTATTTACCATAACGCCACCATAATCGTTTGATTTAAGTGATTTTCAATTGAGATCTTGTTGTAGTCTACTATACATTCGAGATAATTCATTCAAGAGCATTATTATTTTGATGCTCATGATTACGATTTTCCAAACGTTGTTTTTCTGGTTGAATTGCCTTCCTTAGAAAAAGACAGACGATGTTACGCAGCAATACAAAGATCAGATGTCGACCTTTAGGCTAATGGGTCTAATAAAACGAGAATATGACGTGCAAATGGATCTTTTATTTTTAAGTTTTTCAGAAAACAGTTAATTGTTTCGCTACCGATATGCTATTTTTCTCAAATCTGTAGAATTATTCCGAGACCCTGATTTTACGTCGGTAGCCTATATATGAAAAAAAAAAATACTAAAAATAGAATAAAAGAAAAATAATTTCTCAAATATTTTTAACGCATTATTTTTAGCTAGGCCTACGTTAGGCCTACATTTCATATTTTTAATGCAATTGTAGGCTACATGTATTTAGCCTATTTATTTGGCACAGTTTCCGAAAAAATGTTTTAAAATACAATATTTGATTTATTCTGTGTTTGTGATTTGTTCACATTGCACAACAAGGTGCATTTGTAAGCAAAACAACAAAAAACAAAAACAAACTATATACATTAGCCTACGTGTTTTTTTCAGCAGCAGCACAGTGAGATATTTTGGTTTTAAGCAGTGCATGCTCTGCGAAATAAAAACTATTCATATATTTTTGTCCTTTTAGTTGCGATGATGGATTCATGTTCCCTGATTCACACCGTGTTGCTCTGACCCTGCAGGTCATTTTCCAGCGGGCCTCCGGAATCACTGTCACATGACACGAGAGGACAGAGTTTTTCTAAACCCCCAGAAAGGACCATAACTGATGAAAGCCGTCCAGAAAATGCATATAACGAACAACAATAACGCCTTTCACAACGTCGCGGAATTATTTGCAACAATCTCGTGCATTTGAACGTAATGACAAAATTCATCAAAACACCAAACACTTTGGGTAAGAGACCGCTAAAGACGAACTTGCAGTGAGATGGATACAGAACAAGATAAAGAGGACGTATAAACGAGAGAGAGAGAGAGAGAAACAAAGTTGAACAATCCTCAATCAAGACAGAAAAACGCCAGTGTTCCTTGTTGCAATCGGAGATAACTTTAGGAATCAACAAGTTCTAACTGCAGCCTATTACAAACCCATATTTTATTGGACGAGTTCAAGCTAACGACAAAGAGCAGCGCGGCATTTGGTGGTGAGTATCCCGCAGTCATTTCACAGATAATGTGGGAAATCTATGGTCGCTGTTGTTAATTCAAATATTGTTAATCCGAGTTTTATCCAAATAATTGGTTCAAATCCAATTAATATGAATTATATCCTCTTTAACAGCTCAGGAGTGACAAGAAAACCCCGCTGGGATTCATTGCCTCAAAAAAAGCACATACTGCTATAGCCTACAAGTGATCAGCTGTAGAGAGAAGTTCCTCTTCAACCCATATTTGTGCTGGCGAAGACGTGTGAAAATGCCCAGTTTACTCAAACCTCTAATGAGAGGAAAATAAAAGTCTGGTTTCAAAACCGGAGGATGAGGCAAAAAAGGTTCTACGTAGGTTGAAAAGAATGCCTCTCGTTGCTATCTGGACCATCTCTTTTCAACAGCCCATCTCCACCGTCTTGAGTGAAACATGCAGAGATTTATTTATTCATGGCATCTAGTGCCTCAGGTAAAAGGTCATTTCGCAAATATGGCTGGGTATGCTTATCCAGTCTATAGCCACATTAATAGCATTCTCTGGACAACCACAGAACTGACATGTTCCCAGCGTCTATGTCCCCTTCAAATGATTAAATGCCAGTTTGATGTAATATTACCAAAATTATTTTTTAATGGTAAATAAGTATTATAGCCTAATAATGTACTTGATTTAATAACGTCATTGGAGTAATAATTCAAAGTATTGTGTGAAAATGAAAAGCTCTGTGAATTTGACATTTTAGTGCGTGTTATTTATAATTTATTTTGGCCTATTGCTTCTGATGGGCTCAATTCAAGGTTCTCGCGATGTTCATTTGAAATCAAGATAACCATCAGAGTTTAACTTGGACAATTTACAACTCTATGGCCTAATAATTTTATCTATTCGAATGGAAATTGTTTGTCACTTGCACACAAAAATTATGTTTTGGGTTTCACTAATCGAAATAGCATCCATAAGATCTTATCTTTTGCTTTAAATCAATTTGCGTTATGTTATAACCTTTACTTTAATGGGAGATTAGGCTTAGGCCTAAGCATTATTTTAGAAAGTGGCTCACTATACCGAGGGAGCGAGAGTGAGATATATCCTAAAACCAATCTTTGGCTATTGGTTTAATAGAAGTTAATTAAAATGGGAATTTTGACTTAAAATTAGCACAATAAACTTCTTAAGGAAAAAAACACAAAGGCAGACTACTTCAAGTCAATGGTCTACGTATAAGGGTATGATGAATTTTTAGGGCCTATTTATTTATAGCTTTCAACACAACTGCAGTTTTTCCCGTCACGAACACAATGAATTCACTGTTATAATCGCTGTGCTCCCTTTAATTCACATTAGATCTACATTGGCAGTTTATCAGATTGATGGGTTCATTCGATTGATGTGTTTGTCATGTAAATACGAATCGTTTGATGGACACCTGCAACGCCCAGAGTGCTACCGCAGGTCGCACACCATTGGTGCAAAATTAGTCACATGATCTGTCACTTAACTGATATGAGCTCGGATACAACTTTGTGTGGTTTGACGTACTGCTTCGAGGTTGTAGGGGCACTGGGACCACACATCGGCTTATATTGACCCTGCTTAATCAATTTCGCTTGGTCAGTCAACAATGAATTCCTACTTAGATTATACGATTTATAACCGTGGTGCTAACACTTACAGTTCGAAGGTTGGGTGTTTTTCTATGGAACAAGAATACTTGCCAAGTGCTTGTGCAAGTAGTACAAATAATTACATTCCCGAGGGACGGTCAGTCGGAGGAAACAATTTTACACCAGCATCGCATGAAACTCATGGCACAACTTATGCACAACAGCCATACCACATGAATATGGAAATGGGGAAAACTGGACACACCAATTTCTGCAAGCAAACCCGACCTCCTCTTTTGGACTATGGACATCAGCACGTTCTCACTCAAACAGATGACCACATGCGCCTTCAGTCCCCTGCTTTTTCTGTCGTGAATATGGGATCCAACATTGGAACTTACAGTGACTCGAACTGCAGGCCTGGCTCGGTCTCTGCAAGCCATTTTCAGTCATTTCCTTACGGAGAACACGAACCGCACGGCTACGGCTCGTTCAGCAAGTACCAGGTCTCCCCTGACAGTGACAGCGATTCCAAGACGAACATCACACAAGCGCCAACGTTTGACTGGATGAAAGTCAAGAGGAACCCCCCTAAAACAGGTGAGTTTGGGGTACAGTGGCCACTACATTAATGAAGGCTTGGTCTTATTAAAATGTTCTCAAATCATGTTTCTAACCTTATTTTTTTATTCATAATTGTGTCTTTAGTCGCCGAATATGGGATCCACGGCCAGCAGAACATAATACGCACCAATTTTACCACCAAGCAGCTCACCGAACTTGAGAAAGAGTTTCACTTCAACAAGTACCTGACCAGGGCTCGCAGAGTGGAGGTGGCCGCAACCCTAGAACTGAACGAAACGCAGGTTAAAATTTGGTTTCAGAATCGCAGAATGAAACAAAAGAAGCGCGAGAAGGAAGGAACAGTCCCAATAATTAAACGAGCGACTCTTTGCACTTCTGGTCAAAGCGCAGACAACTCAAACAGCTCATCCCCCGGTGCTTCGCCAACCTCTGACACTTCCACTACTATTTGATTCTTACGTGCGATTGTGGCAAACGAACTTCTGTTTCATCACGGTGCTGTGGAGAACTACCTAACTTATTCTGCTGTCCTAGACAAAGCATTGTGCTAGAGTGTGCAAGTGTGTTTAAAGTAATAATTTGGCTGCATTAGAGCCACTGAATTCATGGTTTAACAGGGTACATGCTTAATAGTAAAAAGCAAGACTTTTAAATGTTATTTTTTTCTGCCATTGGTTGATTATCTTATGTTGCACTACAGATTCATTCCTCTGTTGAAAGAGAAAGAAACTGTACAAAAGACTGACATGTTCAAGTATTTAGAAAACAAACAGTGACAGTGACACTGTGATAAATAAATATTTTATTTTTCTGAAATATATGTTTGATTTCTAATTACATCTCATTTAAATCAATTTATTGATTTTCTTTTAATTAAAAGGCTTTTCATGATATGGGTAAGATTGTGTCCTTTGTCCGAGGATGTTGCAATACAATGGGACCTAATTTAAATCAGTGTTGCTCTAGTCTGTATAGTTTGACAAGAGGAATGTTGCATTACACACCGGGTGGCTTCCTATGACCTTTTCACCTTTTTGTGCCTCCAAGCTCTCTAAACATGTAAACACTCCTTGTTGCACAGAATACCACTCACTGTCTAGATTTGGGGTTTTAATCCTTCTTGGCGCAGCGCAACAATATGGCAGGTAAAGAAATAGCTGAGCAAGACCCTTTCTAATTACTAAGTCATTATGATAATTCATAAGGCTCTTTTTATCGTATTTGAACAATGTTCAACAAGGCCAGAAAGAAGAGTGATTAAAAATGGCCTGATTTCACAGACAGGGCTTAGATTAAGCTCGGGTAAAGTTCGTATCTATGGCACGAATGTCATTTCTCGTGCCATTTATACACCAAAACTAGTTTTTGCGTGTATATAGTATGCGTTTTTCGCGTGCATATGATACGCACTTTTTGGCGTATAATAAGTATGAACTCACCATATTTAAGATATCTCAGTGCAAGTTGATTTCAGTTACAACATCTCAAAATGCATTTTAGTCTGGGACTAGCTTAAGCCTTGTCTGTGAAACTGGGTGTAGGCCTATAATAAACCAAATTACCTTCATCTGCATAAACATTTTACTGCAAATATGTTTATTAATTTCATTTGATGTTTATTTATGGAACATCAGATTCAGAAGCAAAGAGATGAGCTATTACAGAGAGAGGAGGGGGGGGGGGCTGTTTAACCCTAGATACTATCTCCATTAGCCTCAATTCTTCTAGAAAGTTTGCAAAGACTTGACAACTCTGTTTCATTCCCCTGATCATCTGATGGACTGCTCCAATATTTACCCAGGGTGTTAGGTTTGCACAGTATTTGCCCCAGCAGCCACGCACTGTCAGCACCATCTCCACTGACCAGGTTCATTTGGAGTTCAGGCCTGAATTAATTCACAAAAGCCACGGGCCTGTCCAGCAGGGGATGAGAAGGGTGTCTTCCCAAAGGTCAATCAGAGTGTTATCTCTCTCCAAAACAAATTATCCACTATAAACTGAAAATCTAATTGAATCTCTAATATAAATAAAGACAATAAAATGCATTTTAAATAAATGAATAAAACAAAAGCTACGATTTAGGGCATCGAGATATGTTCACTGAGCAATTTCACATCAATTCAAAGGTGAAACCCTAATAAAATGGCAAAGTTAAATCCGTTCCAAGTCCATCTAACTCAAATGACAAAAATGGTTAAGGACATGATGCTGATTATTTCATTTCATTTAAAATAGTGCATAAATGTGTCATAATGGCACAAATGAAATTAGCATGTGGAAAAAGGAAAAACAAAAAAAATAGTCAGCTATACAAGGAAGAAAACAGCAACAATGCAATGTGTACTTAAAGTTATTAAGTATGTAGTGTTTGTTGCTTGCCCTTTTGGGTTGTGTGGCTCTGGGCTCCTACTGGGTCTCCCATCTGTGGGCTTCAGTGGAAGAGCTAGTGCTGCAGAGACAGATGTTCAGGCAGCCTGGAGGAGGAGGAGGCTGTTTTTCACCAGGTTGTCAGCATGCAGAAAAGGCTCACACTGCAGAATGTAGGGCAAGAGGAGGAATTAGAGGAAGATAAAAGTAGCATCCTCAAACAATAATAATGCGTAGGGAAGGAATAGTCTGTTTGGAAAGAGATTGAGAGAGAGATAGATGTGTAGCTGGGAAAGAGGCAGTCAGCAGTAGTCATCAAAAAGTCAGATATTAGGTGTAAAAAAAGAAGGAATATTTGTTTTATGATTACATCAGGTAAGATTGGCAAATATTTCAAAGAAAGACGCACTCTATATTCTGATAAATGATGCCACAGTATTCCATATCACTTTGCTAGCAAAATTTTATCCTTTCATGAAAAAAAAACAAACATATATGGAAGTTTAAACTTCCTGACAAAGAATATATTATAAACTACTGTTCAAAACTCTAGGGTTGGTGAGATATTTTTTAAAAAGACATTCATATATTTTTTTTGGCAAGGATGCATTCAATTGATTAAAAGTAACAGTAAAGGCATTTATAGTCACAAAATATTTACATTTAAAATAAATGCTGTTTTAAGCTTTCTATTCATCATTCAAATTCCACAAAACTATTAAGCAACACAACTGTTTTCAGCATGAAAAAATAAGAATGTTTCTAGAGTCACGTGATGTTGAAGACTGGAGCAAAGGCTGCTGAATATTCAGCTTTCACATGAAAATACACTCTAAAAATGCTGGGTTGTTTCCACCCTAATTTGGGTCAAATATAAACAAACCCATGTTGGGTTAAAAATGCAATTAAAACATGTACAGTTGAAAGTGAAAGTTGAAGTTGGGTTAATTTGAAATTACATTTTTAACCCAAGATTTCGGTTTGTCCATATTTTACCAAAATTTGGGTTCAAACAACCCAGCATTGTTTAGAGTGTATATTTTAAACAAATATTTAAATTGGGGAAAAAATGACATCCAATACTTAATAAAATGCAATGGGGGGAAAAAAACCCAGTGATATAACAAATTAAAAATTCAACGACAAAAATCATATTGACAGGTACACCGCCTTTGCTGTCAGGTCACTATTAAGGTGATGTTTGGGGCAGATCTGAAGCTTGCGATGTATATACTCTCCCTGCTGGGTGTGCTTGTCAGAAGGTCTTTTACAAATCAAATGCCTGGCTTGACTTCCTGAGTCTTGTTCAAGTCCCTCTGAAGCATGTCACTCTGCTGGGGTGCATGACCTCAAAGAGATAAAAAAGAATGCTGTATACACTATTCATGGGCTTGAAACAGGGGTCAGGGGGTCATTTTATATGTCTACTTGTCTTTCACAGACATACAGTCAACAGCTAAGACAGTGGCCACATGCAGATAGCCTCCTCCTCTCAGTGAAAACAGGAAGAACAGGAAGCCTTCCTCTTGCCCTCTCCACACAGACCCATATGACCATCCCCCTCTCGCTCAATCGTATCCATGTCCTCACGAGGCGATATAATCAGTCCACCGCCTTATTAGCTGAGTAACTGAGAGGGACAAGCTCCTAGACCCTGTAGCACACAGGCTGGGTTCTTGCCAGTGAGCAACCAACAGATATTGGTTTAAGCAATGTAAAAACAAACTTGCAAGATTTTTTATAGCGTAACACTGATTAGATTGTGATGTCGAGAGAAGTAAAGTTATTGGACCTGCTTAGAAAGGGCTATTTGGAAAGTTGCCAGTTACTCTCAAAACCAACACTGGCGTTTTTTTTTTTTATAATTGAATTGACGAATTTCCTGCATGTGGTTTTGTTTGTGGGGATCATAGAGCTTGGCAAAGTGTGCTCTGTCACTCATATGATTTAGAGAGGAAAGTAGTGCGCGCCAGAGGGAGACAAATGAAAGCTGACAGTTCATTTTATCAGTGACAGATCGTTGATCTCATGGACGGCCTCCCTGGTCTCTCTTAGAAGACTGTGGAGGTTGAATATTAGTGGATACTGATACAACCAAACACCCCCTTCTGAATCCCAAAGGCTTTATATTCCAACCAGCAGAATATGAGCTACAGCTACACATAGAAGCTACAAAACCAAAGTAGTATCAGATATTAGTACAATTAACATGATATTATTTTTGGATTAATAGTTTCCCTTTCCACAGTTCAATCTCATAGAAACCTTTGTATTTAACAGGAAAAAATACATAAATACAAGCAAAATCAGTCAACTTATAGTTTAGCTTCATGGAAATATAGACAGATGATGTTTAAAGGGATAGTTCACCCCCCCCCACCCCCCCACCCCCCCCAAAAAAAGAAAAAAAAATACTGTCATCATTCTCTCATCTTCATGCTTTCCCATACCTGTATGAAAATATTTTGTATAATCTTTTTGTCTAGAGTAGACAATGAAAGTCAATGGGGTCCAAAACATCACTGTGTGGACATTTGTTTTTAATGTTTCATAGAAAAACATAAATTCATACAGGATTTGAATGACATGAGGATTATTATTATTATTATTATTTGGATGTACTATACCATACTATTATTGTTATTTGGATGTACTATATCATATACCATACCATTGGATTTACTATACACATATGTACTACACATATGCACATTAGCCCCCGGGTTCCCGAGGCTTAGTCCCAGACAAAAATTTGAGCTGGTTTAAAATATCTTAAAATATGTCATTGCTATAGTTTTGTCTCAAGATGCACATGTTTTTTTTCAAGACATGTTTATAAAAGCTGCTTAAATGTCCTAATTGAACTAAGACCCAAATCTCCACCTGTGAAACCGGGCCTAGATATTTTTCTTTTTTCTGAGATGTTATCTGAAAAATTTGAATTTTTCAGAGTTATTAATTTCAACAGTACACTTTCAAATGGTCCTAAACAATTTAGCCATTTGTGTATGAGCAAACAGAGAACTGAATTTATTCTGCAAAAGAACAGTAGTGAAAAACGTTCCTCTAAGCTCACCATGATTGATATGTGGGCGTTGCCATAAGCTGATACCTGGGAAAACCCTTTTGACAAACTGTCATACTTTCCCCCATCTTCTTTAAAAGTATATACCTCACAGGTCCTTAAACACCCACACAAACATCTTCTAAGTGATGCCTGCAAGTGCCTGAAGTGTCTTGTGTATGTGTGGGGAGGTTAATTAGCAGCAATGAGCTGAAACTGAGTTCAAAGGGTCAAACCAGCGACAGAGATCAGCCCAAGGCTTTGAACGGGCAAAAATGTTTTCATACCATTTAACAAGAAACGCATTATAAACCGGTTGATAGTAATTAAATCTCATGATGGAATATACGACAAACTCTGAAACTGTTCCAGTGGCTTCATATTGACCCCTGGGTCTCTCGAGGGGTGTGTGACCATGTCGGAGTGTGATTTCTGTCAGGTTGGGGGCTCTCAGATGACAGAGTTCTGCCCCTCCCCCAAGTGAAACGCAAATGAAAAGGAATGCAGAGATAAAAAAGCCTGTGTTCCCAGATAAGGGTACAGAAGAAAGGAGTAGGCGAATGCTAAAAGAGCTCTCTTGGGGAGATGAGAGGCGCTGATGTCAGTGTTGGTGGTAGGAGATCATAGCAGGTTCCTCTCATCAGCCCAGGCCTGTGTTTGATACTGGGTCTTTGTCGCTCTTTCAGCTGTGCATTGTTGGGAGGTGTAATCCCGGGCGGATTACAAAGGCAAGATCCTTTCATATGGCTGTGCCCAGCAGGCAGGAGGCAGTGCTCATGCTGGAGTGGAGGGCCACGCTCATTCCTCTATCTACCTTCACAAGGGGCCATATAGCTGCAGGGACAGTGACGAAGGGGTCATTCGGTCATGTCCTCTCCTTGGAATTCTGCTCCCCCTTCTCCATTCAGATGTTTTTCTTTCATGATCTGCCTCCAGCCTGTACCTGTACACAACACCTTACACCCAATAAACTGTCAAATATCATAAAATAATGAATACGAGCTCTGATATTTAGCTTGAATTAAATCTTCCACAATGAACAACTGTGTTGAGGTAAACCAATATCAGGAACATCCAATATAGGAACGTTTATATTTTTACCTGGAGGACGAAAAAATGTGTGGGAAAATCTCAGATTTATACTGAAGGATGATCTCAAGCCATAGTGGGAGTAGAAAATCATGTGAGTGCTCTTTTAAACTGGCCAGGTGACCGTAAAGCAATGCCACGGCAACCACACAGCAACGCTCTGAAAACAACCCACAACACCCTACCATTGTGGCGAGGGCTTTTGTAATCATCAATTAGGCTACACTGTCTTCAGAAAATCTTAAAACATGTAGGCTTTTACATTTGTCTGCAAGGTAAGGTTTATGCACAATGTAAAAAGGTTCCTGGGGTAAAAGGTTCATTTGAAAAAACAAAAAAACAAACCACTACTTTCCTAAACACCACTTTGTCAATATGCACTGAAAACATAACCATAAAATCATCATGTGTAATGATGATTTTGATTAAATTAGATGTAATATGTAAACATTTTTTTGATCATTACATATGCAGATGAAAATCTCTGAAATTATCATATATATTGAGACAAAAAAAAGGCAGAACTAAAAATGACTTTTTTATGTTGCAACTAAAACATTGAAACAAAAAATACATTATATTCATTTCTGAATTGTTTTTCATCGTTGGGAGGGAACAGATATGTAAAACGGATCACACTAACTTCTCAAATTAAAATGGAGATTAAATAGTAAAAAAATTATTTATATTGGAGCTCCAAGATATTCATTGTACTGGACGAAACGCAAAACAACATAAGCTCTTAATAAACATTTAAATGTTTATGAAATGCGTGAAAAGTGTTAAACTATAATGGTACAATTACAAATGTCTGGAGTGTCATTGTCTTTCCTGCAATTTGAGCCTTGCTTTAAGCACACTGCCCTGTGTAGGCTAACTGCAAATAATAAATTATACAACTTGACCTGACTAAATAAGTTGTTAATATGTTACTCAAAAACATTTTGTCTAAAACATTTGGATATGATGAGATTTTTTTTTGTGCCATATCACTTCCCCAGAGGCTTTTTGCCCCAGGCTGCAACTGGAGGGGTGGGTTGCTTTTGTGTGGTTAAGAAGGAGAAAAAAAAAAAACCTTAATACAATACAAACAAACAAACTTTTTCACCTTCTAACATTTCTTCTTACACATATTATGTTGGTCAATAAATATATGTAGTAGCATAAACATAATCAAAATAAATGGGCTTTGCTGTGATTACATTCTGTTATTAAGGTAATAACTTTAAAAACAGAAGAGATTGTGCCGACCCAATGTGATGCCAGCTCAGCATCAAACTGCTGATTCAGAATTTTGCAAAATTGTGAGAGGCAAGCAAAAGCTTTTGTGATATAATGCAAATGGATCAGACAGACTACATGACATTAACATAAGTTTTTCCACAGAGCAAATGTAGGCCAGACCAGGAAGTGTCATTAGTTTAACCAATAAAAAAGAGCAACAGGGGTAAGTCATGTTTACCACATGTCCTGTCCTGTCTCTGCATTAAACAAATGTGGAAAATTTCTTGTTTTCTGGTTTAAAGTTATGATATTTAGGATATATATATATATTCATTACTTTTACATTTTTGAATAGAAAACGAGAGCAAGAGATAGCTATAGTGATGGTAGATGGCTTAGTAGGCTAATTATTTCCAAAAAGAATAAAAAAAATACAGTAAAGAATAGGCTAATAACATTCAAAACAACAAGAGAATGAATAAATGTAAGAACACCTGATTATCACAATAAATTAATGGTAGATTTAAAATGTAGGCTATACAAGTTTTCTATCCAGATTTGTAACTAATTTATGCAATTCAGGGTAAGTAGGCCAATATATAGACTTTAATCACTTTAATTTTCCTTTAATCACACAAATATTTAAACTTCCGGGGTCATTAGGTAGTTTTGCTATAAGATGGCTTCGACCTTTTGTAAACATTGATAAATAATAATAGACGAGAATAATAGACTCGACCTATATAGCAACTTAATTTAAACAAACAAACAGACCATAGCCCTTGAACCAAACATTTCGAGTCTTTCAATGTGGAGTAAAAACATGGCCACTACTTAGGCTACACAAGACCGCTGATGGTAGCTATCTAGTCACGAAGAGGAGATGATCAGAAAAGAGGTAACGTTAGGCTTCAGTGAGTGGTTTTGAGCGGTGCCCATTGCTGTCAATTTGTAGCAAACGAATAAAAACACTTCAAAGTTGATAAATTCGTGACAACAATTTCAAAACGGTGCAGCCTACTCACTTGTATTTTTTAACTGGGTGCATGGTCTAAAATTAATATAGGCCTATGGCGGAAAAGGCAAATTTTGTAATATTTTGAAATTAGTTTGTCTTTCATCTGAGACTCATGTCACAAAGTAATTCGCCTACATCTCTTTTAGGCAGTGTTTCACAACAATGTGCTTTGCACTTCCTCTTCTCTTTTCCTCCGCGAGCCGGTTCGTGTGGTCTGAAATCTCTCTCGATTATTTTTTATTTCACACTGCGAACTCACTATGTGGGATGACAAGTGACCAACAAATTCACTCAGAATTTGTCTGACCTTCAATCGTTGACATTAGCATATTGTATTAGCTTTTATTTCTGTTTGTAGTCTCACTCAGAGAGTAAGAGATGGGGACGGCGACTGATGACATCAGACAACTATTAAGAGGTAGGCTAGGCATTGTTTCAATGTTAATGTATTAAAATCTGACTTTATTCCTTCTATACGTAGGCTAGCTATGTGTTTGTTGTATTATTTTATCTGTTTGTTTTTATTAAGGTCAATTAGAGCATTTGTTAAAAGTCAACGTTTGACTTTAAAGTATGCTTCTTATAGCATACCAAACATTCATTCAATGAGAATTCACAAAGGAAATAATAGGACTTAAAGCACATGTTTAGGCTAAATCTTAAGGTTAGCTTTCAAATTCATTGTAAACATGTTTTTATTTATATAAGTTGTAAACATAATAATAAGTTGTGGTTTGTGTTATTAAACCTACAGACTTGTGATTTCAGTTTTATGATTTCATTAGTTTTATTTACTCTAGTAATTATTCAGCTTTGCTGCATTTACTCTAGAGGAAAACATTAAGTACAAAAGGGTCCTTCATGAATGATGCCATCATGAGATTATCATCCTTTTGACACGCAGACAGGATGACTATGTCATTTACACTTTCCTATTCCATTTGCATGAAAAGAACAATCCTTTTCTGATTTGTATCTTTCAAAATATATTTAATAGCAATATCACATGACATAAAGGTCACATTTTTCTTTTTCAACATGTTGAAATTCATCAAAGTTTTTTTTTTCATTGTGTCATTGTATTTGCTCTTGTAAACATACTCTTACATAGCATTTACTGACATTTTCTCTCTCTCCCTCTCTCTGTTTCAGACTGTGAGCTGTTTGTTTTTGAAATACTCCAGGATGAGAATCTCAGTAATGTTGCTCTAGAGTCCAGGGACATTCTTCTACGAAATTTCCATATCATCCAGAAGAGGTGAGGGATGTCACAGTATGTTTTATTTATGTGCAAGCATTAGACACATACTTGCTCCCCTTTGTTTGTATTGCACAATGAAGACCACAAAAAATAAATTTATAGAAGCAAATTATTGTTCGCTTGAGAATCTGTGTTCTCAGTCGAGCTACAAATGAAACACAACAGTTAAACAGACAGGAAGCAAATTACTCTTAATTTTTCTATTGTTGTCTTTTTAGAAGCAAGGAGTACAATTACAGCGCTGGAGTGGTTTTGTGGTTTGGTTTTCTAAAACAAAGTGTTTGCAAGTAGATCAAGCACAGTTAGAATTTTTTTTCAGCACATGAATACTTTGCTGCCAATGCATCGTTTGCAAACGCTGCAATGCACCGTTTTTTTTTTTTTTTTTTTACAGATGCATGTGTTTATACTGATACTCAACCTGCCATCAATCAAACGCCTCTTCAATTCTTTTTTTGAATTTGCAGTACAGCTTTCATTGTAGAGCTGAAATGTTTATTTAGACTAAGAAAGATTGTGGAACAATGCAAACATTACATGCACTTGATTGGAAGCATTATACAGTGATCCATTTGAATACAAACTTTGAGCATTGCAAAGTCCATTTGTTTAAAATGTTATTTTATCCTTTATAAAACCTACCACTCTAAAAGCATTTCTAAATATTCTCTTTTCAGACACCCACAAGAATTTCCCCACAGATGTAAGTGAACAGCTGCTTCATAATTCTAATTAATTGCTCACCGAGATTTCCGTTTAGATTCAGGCTTTCTCGGAACAATGGGTTCTTTAGAAAACAAGTCGGTTTGACAAAAATGATTAGATTCTCCTCCCACAGCAATTTTCATTTTATGTATATCTGTCGAACTCACTCAACAAAGTTTCTACTTATGTGAAGCGCTTTTATTTTTTTTTCTCTTAGTTGAATCCAATCTTGAGGATAGTTCAGATGACAACCGCAGCTCCAGTCTGGGACGCTCTGCCCCCTCAGATGATATGTCAGTGGCCTCTGACTACCAGGAGGAAGGTGCCAGTGAGCGTGAGTTCAAGTGTTTACTCGTATGTCTAATGCATGTAAGCTGTGATAAGTCAAGACAGGAAACTTGTCTAAAGCATCTTTAGCACATTGTTGTGGGGGTTTCACTGCTAATGATGAAATACCCCAGTGGAGGTGTTTGGTAACAGATCACCCTCTAGTGGATTCCCACAGCTCTGCTGCTGGCATTGAGGAGTGTGTTGAAGGGGAATGGGAGGGTGGTCTTTTACCTCCAAAGAAAAGGAATGAAGAGCTCCCTCTAGTGGCAGGCGGGGGCGGATGTTTGGGCATGTGTGCTGCTGAGGCATGCTGGGTTCTTGGGGTTAAACCGTGGCATGTTTGCCTGCTTTTAACGATGGTGTCTAAATGTTAGCTTTCTTGTGCTTCTGACACGAAGCAAATTTACTTGTGCGTATAGCCTACTAGAATTTGGAAATGGTTAACTGGAGTGAAATTCGACGTTTAAAGAGAGTTGAAAAACAGGATGTACTGCAGATTGAAAATGGCCCACCGAAATCTGTTTCGTGTTTGCTGATTGTGTTTTTGACCAATATGGGCAGTTTGCTGTTGCTTCAGGCCAAATCTTTTGACTGATCATCCCTGGCTCCCGTGTAAGCAGCTGGTCTTGAAACTCAACACTGTACCTGAGGGGCGTTTAATCCATTTTCTCTTCTTTATCACTCATCATACAACTGACAATTTTCTCAGAGGCATTAAAAGCCTGCAGCTTTGCAGAAAAAGTTGAAAAAATGAAGAAGAAAGAATTAAGGGGCATTCAATTCAATATCATTGATCACTAGGACAATCCGGATTCTCTCGCTCTCTCTTTTTGCCGGATTTTACCTCATATTATATTCTTTTAACAGTTTTCCAGATTGAACAGAAAAAAAAATGTCAGGCTACACAATTGTCAATTGTGAAAACCATAAATTATTGTTTTCATCTCAAATGCATCTTCTTGTTCACTGACACGAAACTTCTCACCACCCCGGTAAAAATGAATAGCTATACTCCAATATCCCATTTATTTTATATGTTGTTTGTAATTTAGCAACAAAAGGGGGTCAAACCTGGATGTGCTCCTTTGATTCGCTCCTTTGCCGGAAAAGGCATATAAGTCAAAGAGGAGTAACTCGAAGAAGATTCGCATCATGTCGCTCTTTCAATAAAGATAATGACCAGCAAGGGCAAGTGCAGTTCAGGGTTCATGTTTAGTTCACAGGTTGGGAATCTCACATCAAACCCTGCGATGGGACATTTGGAATTTGAGCGGGAGAAAGTGTATGGAATTTGAGAGAGGAATATAATCATGAAGATTAAGGTTCAAATGTGCACCTTTTTCAGCAATTCAGATTTAGCTTTCTCATTTGCCGTTCATTCAATAAAGACGCACCATGCTGTGAGCCCTTCTGATTTTAGCTCGAGTGAATGAAAATCAAAATGCATATGTGATATGAATGAGCTGGTGTCCTTGCATGCTGATATTTTCAAATTTGCCCCATTGTATTGGAGGGTAAATATAGTTCAGGCATTCAATTCCTGCACCACTACTCGCTCCGTGATGTCACATGCTCGCCTGTGTGAGGAAGGGAAATTGACTGTGTCTGCTTGTGCTCTAACCTGACTGGAAGAGAGGCAGCAGTTGACTCGTCGGTGGGAGGAGTCAGTTTTATTTCATTTAGCCAGCTCTGCCTCCCTGTCTCCAGAGGGAGGTTTGACAGTAGATTTGTTATAGCTGACAGGAACAGATGTGCGCTCTATTGTCAGGGCCCCTGTCTGTATGGTAATGTGAACTGAGTTTCACCCGCAGACCGCACGGTTGACCCCACCGTGCCTGCAGCCTCGTCTGGATGACAGCAGCCCTGCAGCCGTGGATGGGAAGCCCAGGGCAGGAGGAGCCTCACAGTGGGGTGGATGTTTAGCCAGGTCAAGTTTAGGAAATGCAAAAGTAGTAGAATAATACAAATAAAAAAAACAGTCTTATCTCTTTGAATGGCCCGAGTTGTAGATATTTGCCTGGGATTATCTCTTAAAATTATTAAAAAACATACAAGACGTCAGTTCCACCAATCATTTCAGTCATAACAAGTAGAGCAGAAAAGGTGTATGGTTTGTCAGCCTGACAGGAGTTTGTGTGTTTAAGAGGCTAATATCAATGCATGTCCTATCAAAGGCTGCACATGCTCTGGGCTCTTTGTGTGCACTGACTTGATTTATGTCCAGAAACAAAAGCCCCTCTCGTTCCTGTTATCTTACCCCACCACGGCTCTACAGGCAAAGCTGGAGAAGCCAATCAGAGAGAGGCAGAGGAGTCAGAGTTGAGTTGTTTCTTTATCGCAAATTAGATCATCAAGATGTAAATTTGATTTTTTTTCAAGATCTTAAAGCCTCTTAATTAATGGTTGTGTTGGTTAGGGAATTGATTGCTGTAATGAATCTCTGGAGAGTCCAAAAAGAGCTTGCGTCAATGAAAAATACATTTTAGCCTGGCAATTAAGCGATCCCTCTCGAACCAAAGTGACCAGCCTAACATGCAAATCATCTTCCTCATCATCACGGTTACTGTCAGGAATTTCAGCCCGGTCCTGTTCTATTTTCCCTTATGCAATGGCATGTGGCCACATAAAGGTGGAGTCATAAGCACCTTACATGACCTCAGTGTTTGAGTCGTTGTCAGCTGGTCCTTATCCACGTTGCCTCTTAACTCTGACACTTGGAGTGTTTCTTCCTCCCTACAGTAAACTTTTGACCCCTTGGTCTTGTTCTGGTCATTTCATGACCTGTCTGAACTCTGTCTAGGGCAACTAAGTCTACATTATTGACCTCAGTTGCCATAGCCACAGCACAGTTCAAATCAAGTTTCCCAATAGCTGGGACAGGATTATTAAAAACTTTTTTCAAAACCATCCCCCCCCCCAATAGCCTCGTTTCCATCCTAGTAATCATCCATTAATTTTCCTCTAATCACAATTAATATTCCAATCCGGTTATAGAAAGCGTAAAGTATGAGGCATTGGCAGGCTTCATAGGGCACGTTAAACGACTTCGGCAAAGATGACACCATCTTTCCTCTGCTGTCGTTTTTCCCACCCTCTGTTTCCCTTTGCATTAATTAATTGAAATAGACACATATTAGACCAGAGCATCCTCAGTGCTTCGCTGCTTCTGCCGAACGGGTTCAAAAGTTCACTTCACTCTCCGAAGGCTACGATGCTGCTGAAAAAGCCCATATTTGCTCTCGCTCTGTCTCTCGCTCATTTGTAATTTGCACTGTTTCACCCAAACAAGCTCCTGCTCTGTAAACTGATCATTTGGAAGAGATTTTCAACTGTTAATGTCATATCATTGTCAGTCGTCCTATTCATTGTGCAATGATGAGTCAACAGAGCATACATCACTATATTCATCACGCTTTTTTTCTTTTATTAGTTAGGAAAATATTGCTTCTGTGCTCAATATAATATGTCCAGGTCTAGTAAAAGTTAGTGTAGGTGAAGAGAGGAAGTCTTTCATGATTTGCAAGGTATGAAATAAGCAGAAGAGGAAGTCACAACCTTGAGTGTCTAATCTTCTTTGCAGCCTGTCAGTATCGCAGACAAATGGCAAAACGATTCAATGCTGTGGGTTCAGCTAGAGGTTAGCCTTCCCAGGTACCCCTCTCTCTCTCTCACTCACTCTCTCTCTCTCTCCTCTTACCCATCTTGCAAATGAGAATTTGATTTTTCTCTCCACTGGATTCCATTTCTGGAGATTGATGAAGTTTCGATGCAAGGCCCAGGTGGCCTGATGCTTTCATTGGGAAACAAATGAAAGCGTGTGTAGGTGTGTTTGCTGTACACCCACAGGGAAGGAGTGCTGTTCAAATGTCTTCTGTGTGTCTTTTTTGGTTTCATCTTAATGCAGATTTGCTCTTGGCATGTTGCATTTTTAATATTTTGAATATTTGTGTTTTACGAGGTTAGCGTTTTTAATGCTAGAAATGAACATTCGCTGATTAAGAACTTTTTTTTTCTTCATCTTTATATTTACCGACATAATCCATTTGACACGCCTGGCTCTCTGAGGTTCTGTTCTACTGCAGCATTTGGAATGTTTTCACATCTTTAAACTGACCAGAAGAACAGTTTTTCCATTAAATGTCTTTCTACCCTCTGATTTGTCAGCCTGTAGGTATCATTTATCTGTCAAAAAATTGAAAATATTATGCTAATTGCCTAATTTACCATATGTTTTCTATTGAGTGTTGAAACATGTAATAATCATAAAAGAGCCTTTTCCCCACACGGTTCTGAATTTGAGTAAGGATCTCCACGAGTGAGAGGTTATATTTAAGTTTGGGAGGTTTAGGCTGGCCTGGTAATGAACATCACTGCAATGTGTGTGTGATAAAACACAGCCATCGGTTACCACTGAACCAAATCATCTTCACATGACTGGCAGGGCCATGGAATGACAGATTCCCATACAACAGAAAAAAAAAAAAAAACTCTTGATGTAATCACAAGATGAGGATTTTCTGTAAAGTGATCTTTTTTGTAATGACAATTCCTGGCTGCAGTCTGTAAGCATTTCCAGCCAATACAAACACTTCAAGTTAAATTATCCTGCTCTCCTAAATTTTATAGAGTAGCTTAAGATGGAAAATTGTTTCCAGATTTTTGTTGTGTACATATAATAAATTATTTAAAATAAAGCACACGTTTTATTTTTATAAAGAGGATATTGCTCATATATGGCTGGATTAAGATTACAGACGTGTAACCTTGGCTCTTGTAGTTCTATCATTTAAACAGTTAAGCCTTTGAACTTTCTATTTATTTACTGAGGGGACACGCGCTGAGCGCCTGCATGCGCGTGCTACTCCACAAAGGCAACGTGCGAAAAACTAAAAAAAAAGTTATTTAGAAAGCATTTCGAATGAAAATGTTTCGTTTTGGTTATCACATTGTTTTCTGATATAGGTTATATGGGGCTACCCAACGAAACGAATTATAAACGGATTT